GCACACTGCACGTAACCCCAAATTCGGACGCCAGGTTTTTGAATTTTTCCTTTTTTCAAGTGTTTTTCGTTCGTGTCTTTGTTGTTTTTCATATTCTTTAATTGGATGTTGTCCACTACTGGGAAATGCCATAAAGCGATTTGTGAGCCAGGGGTTGCCCACGGACCGCAGGGCGGTGTAACTGTAAGGGAGCAATTTTGTTTGTGGTGTTCTTGAGGCTCTTGTTGCTTTTTTCCTTCATTGAGGAATTACTTATCAGCTACTGTTTCATAATTGATCAGCAATTATCCTTGACACTTTTATCGCGGGAGCTGTCTTTAAGATAAATCTTCGCCCTTTTGCAAGAGTTTCCTTGAAGCTGCTACTGTCTCTAAGAAATACTGCTGCATTAGAAGAAATACTGTTGCATTTTTAACATATTCAAGTGGAAATTGAGATTTCGAGACCGAGCAATACCGTAATCGTTACCTGTGGTAGCGTGCCTCGCCGTCGAAACCACTCCGAAGTTCGTCAATAACACATGCGAGTAATATTCGCCATGCTCGAGCTGCTTCCCGAGTCTTCTAGGTGAAATGTATGTTGCGATTTAATGACACTAACAAGCAGCAAGCAGAACATGCAGTAAGCAAAAAGCTGGATAAAAGCGGAAGAAAACGTTCATAACAAAGTTTAATGGAGGAGAAGGAGACAAGAAGGAAGGCAATTTTGTTTCCTGACGGATGCAGGCAAAAAAATATGAGTGGCGGCGGCGGGTAGAAACTAACAATAATTCTCCTCAGCAGCGGTAGATCACCTTCATAACGATTCACTTTTACTGTGATCTTTTTGTTATCCAGCTACCTGATGCCACTCAGAGCTACCATAACTAAAACCTGCGCAGTCGCTCAGGGGTGTCAAGAGGAGTGGAATTAACCCACCCGCAGCGTTATTTTCAACTGGTTCTCTTCCTGAATTGCTAACTAAACGATCACCCTTGGTGCAAACGCAGCCGGATGCGAGCTGCTTCCCCACCCTTGACACAACCCTAAATAGTGCGACGATATCGACTACATATAACTCCAATCTCCCGGCCCGCTTCTTGCCAGATACTCGAAGGTTTGGATAACATACATATTCTTGGTAAGTTTTTCATGGAAAACTAGCCTACCTGTACAATTTCGTGGGCGCAAATCCGTTCCATTGCAATCTCTCCGAGCCGTTCCCAGATTTCGCTAAACATTGAGACAATTGAATCCTTT